GTAGGCGCAAAACACCCAATTGGTATTCTGTGTCTTCCGCACAAGCAAAAACATTTATATTTTGTTAGAAGAAAATACATGACTGTAGAATTTATGTGATGACTGTGTACAAATAAGCATGCCCAGAAAACAGTTAAAGGGGAGAAAAATACCTATATGAAATCTAATGAGCAAATTAGGAAATTGTAGTTACAGGAATTCAGTTGCTACTTAGTGTTTATAGGGAAGCACAAAGAGAACATCAAAATGCCCGATCACATCCCATCTGTTACTACCTCTTGCTGGATAACATCTTGGCTGCCAAAAAAGCTATTTAAACTTACTACATTACAGCTACTGATAAATATCACTTCTGTGAAGATCTAATACTAAATAAGGACAAGATCTGAGGATAAACCTTACAAGCAGCTGTGTCAAAAAGATCTAAATTTTGCTTACTATAACACCTGTACTCCTACAAGCCTGCAGTTTCTTATTCCCTGTCTCTGTCTGTGATATGTTTTTAACAGAGCACATAACTGTACAACAATCCTCAAAAGCTGGATCATGTCAACAACAGAAAGAAATAAAGCTAGAACAGAAAGAATGACAGAAAAAACTAAAAATGAAAAACTGCTGGGAGAAGGTGATGGAGAAGGTGGCGACTTCTATTCAACAATTTTGGAGGTGCTTACTCTGGGCACTGTCCACATAGATCTGACAGAATGCTGCCATGAAAATGCCTCAAGCAATGGAATACATTTTCCAGCACATCACAGCAGCTGCAACAGCAATTCTGCTTGCAATCCATGTCCAAAAAGAAAAGTTCTCAGTGGTCCTATTTCAGCATATCTCAAGGACTAATTAAATCCTCATTACTATCTTCTAATTATTCCAGTGCTCTGGGATTTCACTCAGCAAGTCCCCAATGGTGCATTAGATGAAAAGGGTTAAATAACCTGTGTTGATTTTGAGACTCCAGATCTATTTCAGACCTTTAGCATATCATCAGCATTATCATGAATATTTAACTATGTACCGCTGTGAAAATTATAAGGGGAAAACAATTAAAGATTTTTTAAAAATTAATTCTGACCCATATACATTTGCACTAATAAATAAGGCTTCTTTAAGTATCCCCATTATGAGAGTGCTCGCCAGAGTAATAATGTGAAGTCATTAACTGTTTCCATTAAATTCAATGGTTTTTAGGAACTCCCAATTCACTATTTTAATATAAGACTGAAACCTGACATGTACATACCCAACTGCATAAGCATGAAAAATACTACTTAAAAGCAGGTAAGTTTTCTGAGCTTTTTCAAAATTAGGTAAGGAACCATTCATTCCTGCAGGGGGTAGAAGTGCCTATTTCAACATTATTGTGACACATATTCTCCTAACAGTGCTTGAACAGGTGAGTATTTGCATAGGCAGATGGAAATCTCCATTAGTTTACAAAAGTAAGAATGGGAGTATAAGCTAAAGGCCAAGACGAAGGTTTCTTTTTCACGCTGCAGCTTCAGGAAACTAATTTAGGGTGTTAATTGGGATATGCTGGGTTTCTATTTGATCCCTAGAAATAACTTCTAACTCATTTAGCAGTTCTGGCTACTAAGGACATCCTCAAAGTGCAGCTTCCAAAACTTAAACAAGTGAGTAGGTACAGCTGAATATAAGGAACTCAAGAGACTGTGTGTACCTCAACTATTTGCCGAATGGTCATGACAGCTGTGGTATCATTGCTGCCCTACCTCTGGGCCTGATGCAACAAAAGCTTATAAAAAGCTTTGAGTTCAATAAACACAAAAATTCAACCCCCTACTTTTGATCATACAAAGAAAAGTCTGGAGTAGATATATCAGAAAAAAATGCATCCTCCTTCCCCCCAAAAGCATAGCAAATTTAAATGACTACCTCAATTAGTCATGACTACATTGCCATTATGGTATCCCCAAGTAATGGTAATTGTTGGGATTCAGCAGCAGTTAACACACATGCAGGTAGAGCAGCCATGGCCACTCCTGCTTTTCCAAGAGACTTCTGACACCAGACCTACACGGCCTGCTCCCTCTATCCCCAGAGCTGTCCAGCTCTGACAGTCCATTATGATGTATGGGACTTACATCAAGTCCCAGTACTTTTAAATAAGACACATGAGCTGAGAGATAGGTTATGTATATAAAAGTAAATATAATTTCTTGTTACCTAGGTAGACAACATTTGTTTGTAGAACTAAAACCATTTCACTGATTTGGCATCAAACAACAATGGCCAGTTACCAATTCTGGGACAAGAACAGAAGTCCCTAGGATAGCATGCTCCATTTACACTGACCAGGTCCAAATGTCCTACAGCTCGAGCAGGAAATGAAAGATTTTAAAATTATTTTTACAGAAAGCATGAAATAAGCTATATAAAAAAAAAGCTGAAGAGCACAAAAAAATCCAATCCCCCAAGAAATTTCTATTGCTGTACATATAACAACAATACCACTCCTCTCTTTCTGCACATAGAGTGTACATGTAAAAATATGCTCACTGCTTCATGCTGCACCGTATGACAGGGAATGTATACTCTCGGGCAGGCAAACATAAAAATCCCTGCTGGGTGCTGAGCAACCATGGACTGCAGGGTAAAATACAGTCAAACACTAAGGTAAGTGTAAACTTAATGGTTCAAGGTAGTGGTTTAGCATCCAAAAGTGTTAAAGCTCAGACTCCACCTGTCAGTCAAGCTTCATGATAGCTGATAAATAGCATTTTTTTCAAGTATTCAGAGCAGAAGATTTTGCTCAAGAAATGAATATTAGTCCTTTGTTTATCCAATTCTCTCTCTAAACAAGGAAAGAAATGCTATACAAAGTGCAAACCCAAACATTACCTTATCGAATGTAGTGTCACTGGGGTTTTTGTTTTCATTTTCATTTATTTTTTTTCTTTTCTTTTTTTGGGAGAAAGTGTATCAGTAAGCCGAGAGTTTAAATTACTGTAACAGATGCCCAAGGATCAGGTGTCCTTAGCAGCAACGATTTTCTGCTCAGGTTTTTATCAGTAAATGACAAGCACCTTCCCTTTGAGCCCCCATCATTCCCCCTCCTTCCTTTCTTCAAGTTCAGTGGAAACCAGTTCAAGAAAGCAAAGGAATCAACTAATGTAACAGCCTTTTTAAAAGGTGAAGTTTTCCATTTCAAAGGAGCCTCTAATCAATGACAGTGCACAAAAGGGAATGCACGCATGTTTATGTGCGTACGGCACAGACTTTAGAGAAGCTTTGGGGAACATGTTCTGCAAAATCAATATGATCCAGCTAGTTACAAATTTTGAATCTCCCCCATGAACCAAATGGGCTTCTTATACAAGCTGGGTCACAAGATCATGCACATTACACCAGTTTTTGCATATGAAGTGTTCAAAAACTGCAACATTCCCAAAAACATTTTCTCTAAGAAAATACCTACAAATCTCACTGCAGAGAAGAAAAACCAGACTAAATCAATCTGTAAATTTTAATTATTTCGCTGTTATTTACTTGTTTGATTTCCCAGTTATAGCACCTGTCTTCTCTGTTTTACTTCTGAATACCCCTCTGCCTCTCCTGACCATATAATGACCCCCAGTTTTGTTCTACAGCAGAACAGAGAGGTTTGATCTTTCCAGCTCTGTCAGACCTGCATAACTCATCCCCCAAAGTCAGGTGAGGAATACACACTGCAGAAACAATTGTTACTGGGTAATATAACATTTTGTGCCAAGACCCAGTTGTGCCAGGAAATGTAAATATCTTTGTGAGATGTTTGGGTCTTTAAAGCCTCCATCTGATCCATTCTTGCTGCCTTGTGACATCTATCGCACAAGGCATCATATACTTGTGTTGGATACTGAGGCCATTCTTTTTCTCACCAAACATGCACAGTATTCTAAATTTTTTAAAGGGGAAAATAAGTCCCTGCACTAACGACTGAGTATAAAGAATGACTGAAAAGGAATTCTGTATTTCATGTTCTCATTAATCAGCAGTCCTGGAGGAGGGGACAATCAGCCCAGAAAAATAGCAAAAATTAAGACTCTCTGCTCTTCTTTGTGAGTCCTCTTAGCTCCTCCTGGATGCTATCCCAGAAATTTGTCATTCTGTGAGTTCAACTTGTTTCACTGCGAGAAAACTTCTAGTATTTATGGTATCCCCATATGGTGCTACTTAGGATATTTCTGGAAGCAAGACATTTTAGGAGGGGCATTTCATAAATAACTCCATGTTTATCACAGTTATCATGTGTCTGTTTTGTAAGCCTGTCACTGGCACATGTTAACCACTGCATGGACAGGATGCCCAGTTTACAGCAGTTGACTGTATGTACGGCCATGCAACAAAGCTGTGACAACTATCTTCCATGAGCTAGGGAGGAAGGAGGTGAAAGGAAAAAGGCTTAAAAGTTAAAAAAGGTAACATTAATTTAAAAATGCTCTGTTTATTTTTGTGAGCACTTGCTAGGAAGCACCCTTTTAGAACCGTGCTGTTGCCTGCAATGTTTTCCCTTGCAAGATTTCCAAATGTTTGAACCATTTGACCTAAATATTTTTATATTTAAAGATATTTTTATCCTAGAACTGGATAGAGGACTATCGTGTCCATGCAAAGACAGAGATGAGAGTTTTAAGAACAGTAGCAAAACTGTAGTTCTCATAGTGAGGACTATTTCTGTATATCTTAATTTCAAGATAGACAAGAATAAGTTGCATTCTCTAAGACATGACTCAAGTATTTACAGAAACTGCCTTTATACCCCGGGTATTCATTATATTTTGAGAAAACCTTGTTTTCAATTATAGTTTGGTAAAACCCGCTATTCCATTGCTCTTTCCCCATAGAAGGAACACCCCCCAAGCCTCCTACAATGAAGACTGTCATTATTTTCCCTGGGAGAAGAAAAGAAATACCAGGAAATCTCACATGGCTAATGTGCATCTGAAAATGAAGGCTGCATTTGACACCGACTAAAAAAGCCCCAACACCTAACAAACCTCGGTCCTGTGGCATTGGTGACTGGCTCAAGGCAGGGTGGGAGCTGGATTCTGACTGGCTGCCAGGAGGCTGCGGTGGCATCTGACTGCCTGTAACACACAGAGAAAAAAGGGAAAACAGACTTGCTTTTAACATTTCAATGCACAAAACCAAGTCTTGCTGCATTTTTCAACCACTCAACATCAAAGAAATTACCAACTGTATAAGGTAAAGGCAGAGCTCAACAGGTCAAACTTTTTTCATATTTTTTTTCTTTTATTTTTTGAAACCCATGTAGGAAACATGCACAAACATATTTAGCAACAGGCATGGTGAAATGCTCAATTTTGTATTGAGTGAGTTCCCAACCTCACCAATATGATCCAATTTATAGCTGCAAATCTCCTGACACATATTTCTGTTAGAGAGTTTAACAAAATCCAAGTCTGCTGAACAATAGGGCTCATCCTGCTGAGCTTAAACTGGCCTCCAGCCAGGCAGACATGGACTGCTGCCAACAATATTACCAATGAAAAATTCGGTCAATACAAAAATGACTAATAACAACAGTTTAAAAACTATTTCGATGAATCAGTGGTTTCAATATTGTTTGAATGTCCATGTAGAATATGGGAATAAACAATAATATGTAGGTACATGTGGTGAAAGTGAAGCATGTTTGAAAGAGATCAGAGAGAAAAGGGGTATCTTATTATTCAAATAAAAGCAAAGGGAAGTTATTTATTAAAATAACTAGCCAGAACAGACAGATCCACTTTTATTACTTCATTCAAAAGACATCCAGAGAATTCATCCACTGCTGTCTACCCACTCAAACAAGAACAGCACTCACAGTGCTGTCTGTGAGGCTCAGGACACAAAATCTTCCCTTTCAATGTTAATGGATAATAAAGCAGGCTTTTATTGCACTGATGCAAGTCACTCCTCTGGGTCACCGTTCAACACCACGTGAAGCAGGGAGGTCAATGCTACCACCCTCCCAATGCCCCAAGGGCCTTGTGCCTAAGAGTCAACTTGTCACAGGAGTAACAATGAGACCTGGACATCCCCTAGGACTCCTCTTCACTCCTGGTCTGAGACATGCCTACTTGTGACAGCCCAAGAGGCTTGAAGACCACCTCAGATTAAGCAGCAAATATATACTTTACGCATTTAGACACTGCAGTGATGAGCACGGTATAAATAGCAGGAGACAGATTTATACCCCTCATCCTCAGAAAGTGTTCAGATTATTTTCCGTTTGAAAGAAATGGAACGAATAAAAACAGAGGCAATAGATTTGTGCCTGCTGAGACTCATTTCCTCCTGCTCAGCAGCTGCCCCTCCGCAGTGCAGGAGCAAGAATCCTGCGGGCAGTCCTGGTGCTGGGAGCTGGGCTGACAGCGGGGCAGCAGGGCCTGCTCTTTAGAGCCATGAAGAGCCCCAAGTTGGACATAAAAGCAGGAAAGCAAATGTGTCTGCTCTGCCCTATCCCCTTCCCATCCTCAAACCAACTGAGTCTCAGCACCAACTCTGAAGAAAAGCCAGACTGATAGAGAACAAAAAGAAAATCTAAAAAATGTGGAGTGTAACCACTGCCTAGCTATTCAGATGAGGTGCATTTGCACCAAAAACATGACACTCAACATTACCAGGAGCAGCTGTGACAACTGTCTCAGAGATGCAAATGCTGGACTAGAGGCAGAATTGTACCTCTAAAAGACTAAACATGCCACTCAGCGCCTGAGGCTTTGGGATCCATGGCCCATTCACGAACTCTGAGGCATATGACAATAATAATGAAAAAACCCAGATTGTGTTTTGATGTCACTCAAGAGCAGGCTGGGGAGACAGTAAGTGCCTTCATTATAATGAAGGCTTTTGGCTTGACAGGAAGTGACTCAAAAACTGTAAACAAACAGCAATTCCATGTGAACACAGGGCACTGCCACTTCCACTGTGTATGCCCGAGGCACTGCTATCAGACAGAATACTTTAAGTAGATCAGAACCATCTAAGATTTTTGCAAACACTTAAAAATATTAATAAAGGCAGGGTAGTCATGACTGCACCACACAGCCCTCAGCAGGGTCCCCCTTTAGGTGGAGGCTTGACAACTTTGAGAGATGCTATAGTGCATAGAATAACTATGCTAGGCAACATATTTTGCGTATTATACATGGTCTCTATTTTTTACATGGATAATAACATCAGTTCTCTGTCAAGAACCTTATCCTGCACAGGCAGATGTGCAAGCATAAACCATGAAAGTCAAAGCCCAGAACCACACACGTACAACATGATGCAGTTTTATCTGCATCCTTAGTTAATACAGACTCCAGAGTTTTGCAAATTTACTGAAATTATTAGCCTCTGCAAACACTAATGCTATTTTATCAGTACACTTTTTTACATTTAGTTCTGTTTTTTTCCTGTATTCAACAAGCTTTAAAGCAAATTTTTTGCTTCACAAAGGAAAACTACTTCATAAACATAGTCTAACGACAAACTTTCAGGAGAAGTATCTGCTATGCTAATTATCAGTGGGTACTACAGATTAGCCAGATGCTGGACATCAAGGTATTGCATCAAAATGTTTTCAGTCAAACTGCCATTTTATTCTTAGAAGCGATCTGAAAGGTAAAAGGAGGCTAAGCACCCAAATACCTTTGAAGACTTGAACTCTTAATTTGGGTATCTAACTCCTATTGATTGGGAGCTGATGACAGGACTTTAAAAACCTTTGAAGATCCTGTCTGCCATGCTTTTTAAGTTTCTTTGTCATGAAAAGAAATGACCTTAAAGATTTTCCATTTCTTTCCTTTAAATGATAGTAATCCTTCTCTCTTTCAACCAGTATTGCAGTTGTGATTCTTGGAAGACACTTTAAATAATACATTAACAGACTTTTGTATTTTATTAGGGAAGGGAAACTTCGACAAAAGAAAAACAACCTCTCTTCTTTTTTAACATAAATTCTACAGCTGTTTAAGAAAGAAAAAAAATCCAATAACTTTTTTTCACTGACAGACTACTGCCTCTTTTGAGCCAATGATACACAGATGGAAGTTTAAACGGGGATGACCTTTTCCCATGTTTTGTACAGCACTATTGCCACACTGGTGAGATACTCCACCTGCCAAAACTTATCCAAAGTGAATACTATGGATGTTTCACAATATTTTTATTATGCAAAATCACAGAAAATGCAATAATGTGCATCAAAAGGATAGAAGCTGCCACACTATTTCTTTCCCCTTTATTTAAAAGACCAAAACACTGTTCAAATACATATAGCTATCTAGTAAAATTAGTTGTTAAAGCTACCAAAACCAGTAGTCTATGTAATATAGTGTCTGCTACTAAAAAAAACCCAACGGTCAGCTGAAGAGGAAAGAAAATTTAAAAATGCTTAATAACATATTTGTAAGCTGGTTTTCTATTTTTTAAACTATGTGAATTGCTTTTAAACATTTTGCACTTTGAAAATCTACACTTCAAATTGAGTCAGGAGAGACTGCACAGCACCTTTGGAAGAAATGGACTGACAAAAGTACTAAACAGTGATTACATTATGACTACAGCCATGCAGTTAAACTGTAAAAGGTAAATTCCTCAGAGCCAACAAAGCAAGCAAGAGCAGACCTTTGATATACTGCTGAGGAGGGGTCCTTACAGTCAATTACAGTCCACATCAGTAACATTCTGAAACAAGCTGAGGGCTCTCTGGTCCCACCACTGTAATGACACACTGTAATGGAGGATGCTCAGCTGCAATACCCTGTACCAGCTGCATAGCACCTCACAGAACTATGCCTGAACAATTGAATCAAGAAAGCACTTCAGTGCTAACAGGTTCTCTCTGGGAAATTACTAGTTAAGGGGGGAAGGAGGGATATCAGCATAGGAATTTTAAGGTGTGTGAGGAACTGGCAAACAGGAGGGTGGGGGACTGATCATAGCCTGTGTTAAAAAGGGAACACTAGGCTGAAGGAAAGGCAGAAGTTAAAGATCTTGTAGCTTGTCTTTGGGACAATTCCCAACATAATTTAGGAATTAAGAGCTAGAATTGGATTTAATGATATTGGCTGATCACAAAGTAGGGAATTTTAGTCAATATAAAAGATGATAAAAATACTACCTAAGAAACCCTTTGGATCACCTTTCGGGTTGGAGTATCAAAAATGTAAACACTTATATTCACAGAAACAGGCCTTTCGTAATGGAAGAGCTGTAGGTTATAAGGTAGAAATGGGAAAAGAAAAAGAAGGAAAAATCTGACCGTATTTTTTGACCTAAAATGGTTGTAACTTACGAACAGTTGTAACTAACCATTTGACGTGCCACCAAAAGAAACAAATTTATTATTAGGATGAATTAGGAGGACTGTTTCCAGTAGAGATAAGACAATACAACATCCCTGCTGATGTGTCACTGGTGAGCCTTCATACAGACAAACGTAGAAAGTTTAAAAGTTAGCTGGAATGGGAACCATCTACCAGCATGACATAACAGGAGGCTCAAAGAGCAAGTATTATTTAGTATTACAAAAATTGAAGCTGTGATTTTGTGACTTCTTTCTAAAAATACATTTGCAGCTAAATATCAAGGAGGAAAAAGATCATGATGTGTAGGATGATAATCAAACCATTACTGGAATTTGAAACAACCTCCTTTTAGGAATAATGAGGTCCTGAAAATCTAGTGATTAAGATGAAATCTGATAAAATAATGGGATAATCATCACACAGTAGATGTGACAGTAAAGGCTTACACACCAGAAGGGACATTCTGGGTCTCAGATCCCTACATCAGAAATGAAAGAACATAAGTAGGCTTCTATATGGGAGCGTTTCAAATGAGCTTTTCAGGAAATTTAAAGTGAGGCAAAATGACCTCAAAGGAAAGAAATTTTTCTATGGGTAGCGTAAAGTGAAACTGGTCATGTGTTTTGTGTTATCTCTTCATCTCACAAAGCCTATGACCCCTTAAGAATAAAGATGATTTTCTTCCTTAATTTATGCATTATAGCCAAGCTTCCTGTTGTATCAACAGCATTTTTTAAATGACTTATTCATTCCAGTAAAAACCAGGGGCTGTCTGCATATCC